TGGTTACTTATGGTGGTTTCTTTGGTGACTTTTTTTAAGACAATAGTTTGCCATTAGAAGTTTATATAGACCCTAACAATGATCTTCTCTTAGGGACGTTTCTCAAACGGGAACACACTGTGCATTGCTGTGTGATTCACATGCAGTTTTATGCGGTGCAGTTTCAGCCCATTCAATTTGAATTTGTTGAAATCTCTCTGCACGGTAAGGCGCCAAAAGCAGTTCACAAACTATTCTTGGAAATTCACTGCAACCAGATCACATGGCACTTACGGTGCGGGCAGATGCACTGCGCTTGCGACCTGCGTTTGGGGTGTCAGTAACCTACTATTGACATCTGCTGAAGATCACAACTGCAGTGCATTTTGCAGGAGACATGTTCTGGTGTGACTTGGCCCTTATTTGCTTCCATTTGGTCTATTAGATTTTCCGTTAAAACATTTTGTTTTAAAATCTTGTGATGCATAAAAAACAAAAATAAGAGGGCAAATGCATAGTGCATTGTCCCCAGGACTTTTATTTAACAGGTAACAGAAAACATATTATACTTACAAACCAAATAGTATAGATTATTCAACATGAAACACAGACTCCAGAAGTCTGCTCTCCTCCAAATACAAAAATGTTCAGATGACAACAGTTTATGTGTTTCGGGGAACTGACCCCCTTCCTCAGAGCAGTTGCTTTACACGTGTGGTTTTAATGGCACGATTTCTGAGCGCTGAAGTGTTTTTTAATTCTTCTTGGTAAAATCTTGTGAGCTGATAACTTCCTGTGCCCTTGCAGCACTCTTATCAGTTAGCATTGTTCTCTGCTCTCTCTGTGATCTACAGGACATCTCCCTTGTGAGTAATGGAGAAGAGTAAAGCAGGAGGTGTTCTGTAGACCTATTATACTTCCTGGCCTAAGCTGACAACACTGCTGCTCCATAGATACAGTACAGTAAGTGTCACCCTAGCACAGGATGTGTAATACTAGGAGGATCACCAGGTGAAAATGAGGAAAGGAAAAGCTCAATAGCTGAACCTAAAATTACACACACTGCTAAATAAGAGGAAATACTTCTCCCTCCACTCTCCTTCTTATTTGTACTGACTCTCAATTATAGGGAAACAGTCTGAAAGGAAACAGCTGCTGATGTTCTTTCTTTGCCGAGACAGTCATGCACTCACCCTGTGTTAAATGTTTATTTGTAAAATAAAGATCTATTAATCATAAAATCATGTTCTGTAGTCCAATTACACTTCCTGTCCTAAGGTGACAACACCAGTCCTCCATAGATACAGTGCTGTGATTAAGTGTCACCTAGGACAGGGTGTGTAAAAGTAGCAGGATCTCCAAGTGAAAATGAGGGAAGGAAAAGCTCAATAGCTGAAGCTCAAATTACACAGAATGCTAATTGATGAGAAAAAAGACTTCTCCCTCTCCTTCTTATCTGTACTGACTCTCAATTAAAGGGAAACAGTCTGAAAGGAAACAGCTGCTGCTGTGCTGTCTTGGCCGAGCCAGTTATGCACTCACCCTGTGTTAAATGTTTATTTGTATAATAAAGAGCTATTAGGATCACCAGGTGAAAATGAGAGAAGGAAAAGCTCAATAGCTGAAGCTCAAATTACACACAATGCTAACTAATGATAGGAAAGACTTATCCCTTCCCTCTCCTTCTTATCTGTACTGACTCTCAATTATAGGGAAACAATCTGAAAGGAAACAGCTTCTGCTGTGCCGTCTTGGCCAAGGCAGTCATACACTCACCCTGTATTAAATGTTTATTTGTATAATAAAGAGCTATTAATCATGAAATCATGTTCTATAGTCCTTTTACACTTCCTGTCCTAAGGTGACAACATTGCTCCTCCATAGATACAGTGCTGTGCGTAAGTGTCACCCTAGGACAGGAAGTGTAATACAGGCAGGATCACCAGGTGAAAATAGGAATGAAAAAGCCAGAATAAAAGAAAATGAATGCAGCTACCACATCTATTGACTGGGAAGCTGCACAATATAAAATGTTTGTTCTTTAGTCACGCTTTATGAGCCCAGGGTTATAACCAGATGGGCTGTGCGCTTTTGTTTCAATGCACGGTCAAGTGCGGAAATGTGCGGGCAGGGTGTGGTGAGGGTGTGGTTGGGTTTGGACGGCACCACTTTACAGTCAGGTCTGCTGAAACGTTGCTTAGTGCCTTACGAGTGAGTCTAATCTAAGCAGCAGAGTTTGACAGCATTTACATGTTATTTTGGCAGTTTGCACGGCTGCTGTGACAACGAGGCGGTTTGGCCGAGCACAGCCATTGAGTCCACTGTGCGTCTCTCTCCCTTGCATTGAAGAGCGAGAGAAGAGAAAACAGAAGATCTTCTGTTAACCCTCCCTCCCCAGAGAATGAAGGCCAGGGATTGTAGCCAGAGTCATTAGTCCTTTTTCCCAAATTCTCATACTTTTATTGGGCTTTTATCTGCCAGCTTCTGCTTCATGATGGGACTGTGGAAGTGGACTTAAAGTGGACCTGTCACTTCTTAAATATCCTAATTATCTATCAGCATTGTGCGGCTTGTTAAAGCTGATCTCCAGGCAAATAGCTAAAGATATTCTGTATCTACTGGAGCTGTTTTAGCTGCCAAAGGATTTGCATTTTTATCCATCCACGCTGGAGATTTACACAGCTCTGCCGCCTAGCATAGTCCTGCCTGGCAGAGTAGGGAACCTGGACTCACTCTTCTGCAGTTTTTCTTTTACATACAGGTCTCCACGTCACCCTACTCTACCCTGTGACTGGAAAGTGAAAGGAGAAGCAGCTCATTGATGATCTTATTTCTCTGCCACTCTCTCCTCCTATCAGCATGCTCCTTGCACTGCGCCACATCTGATTGGCCTCTACCTAACAACTGGAATTTTATTTTCTTCTTTCTTCTTTTTACTTCCTTCATAAACTCAACTCACCACAGTCATTACCTTTTTTGCACCTCTTGCCCCCCCTAGATCGGGGGTCTTCAAACGTTGGACCATGGGCAAATGTAACCATCTGCAAGATTTGATCTCCATACCTCTAGGCCAGGTTCACACCTGTACATTTTTTAATGTGTTTTGCGTTTTGCAGGAAGGCAGCACATGCCATTTATCATGATTTCGTATGGATCACGTTCACATATATGCAGTTTTTGCTAGTGCGCTTTTTGGAAAAGGTCAAGGACTTCTTTTCCCGCAGCAGTACGTGTTTTTAGTCCAATAGACTTCAATGGAAACACGTATAAAACACACAAGTTCTGCATTTTTGATGCATTTTTTGTGCTTTTTTGACAAGTTTTGCATTTTTAATCTGCCCAGCAACAAGTTTGGCAAAAAAAGAAACCGCAAAACGCATCAAAAACGCAAAACGCACTGCAGAAATGGATCAATCGCAAACTGCATAGGTGTGAACCTAGCCTTAAAGGGAATGGGGACTCTGATGGAAGATGGGGCTCTGATGTAAGGGGGTGTTTTGCCTCAAAACAAAGTGTTTTTAACACTACTACCATCGCTCACTAATACACGGATTAGGCTTAATAAGTATTAAAGCAAAACATGATTTATTGAATAAGTTCTGTTAGTATAATAACATAAGAATTGTCAGAATAGCAAATCATATTTAGATCATATTATAGCAAGAATAAAGCATCAATACATCACCGGATATTGTAGCATCACCCATTGCCCAACGACTGGGGGACTCATTGAAGATGCGGCAGACGTGCCTTGCGGTGATTTCCCAGGGGAGGGGGACTCTGATGAGGACTCTCATGAAAGAGAGCACTCCAATGTAAGAGGGAGACGCTGACGTTAGGGGGACTGTGATGTGAGAGGACTCTGATGTAAGGGTGACTCCATTGTAAAGGGGACTCCAAAGTAAGGGGAACTTTGATGTAAGGGGGCTCTGATAAGGACTATGATGTAAGAGGGGCTTCTAATCGGCTCAAGTTTATTTGGAGTTTCTTTGCATTGTTTTACTGAAGTTTTTATTTGGATGGTTCTAAATCATATTATGCTGATCAAAAAAATAAAACATAAAGTAAAACTTGGTAAAAGTTAATTCATTAAAAATTGATTAATTCATTAAAAAGAAATATTCCTTTTACCTACAGGTAAGCTTTAATTTAGGCTTCCCTGTAGGTAAAACTCAGCACAGTGAGTTTATTACCACTTTAATAAAACTGATTTGTTTTCAGTTTGCAAATAGCTGTGAAAAAAATCGATGAAATGTTTGGAGATCCCTGCTCTGGGCTGTAAGCTCTTAGGTACAGAGCTCTTTAAGCCCTTCATTATTGGATTACATTGTAAATGTACTGTTTTCCTTAAAGTGGCTCTACACATCATCTGAGCACCACAAACCAAAAACACTATTTCATTCATTTTTACTATTCAAAGCAAACTCCCCCATCCATGTCTCCATGCTTTATTTTGCTGAGAAATCACTTTGAAATACACCCCCAGCATTTTTGTGCCCATCTTGAGTAACGGTCAGATGATTCATGCAGCATTTACGTCTTGGAATCCATCCGCCTTTAGCTCAGACATGCGGGCAGGAGGGCATGCTTAGCTGAGAAAACCCCTCCTCACTTTTCTGAAGACTTCAGAGATGTATGATATCATTTGGCTAGGCCTGGAAACCAGGAAGTAACTGAAGAAATGTAAAAAATAAAACAAGTAAATAATTATTTAGCACAGTGGCAAAATGGTTAACACTTCCACCTGGCAGCACTAGGGTCGCTGGTTCAAATCCCAACCATGGCACCACCTGCCTGGAGTTTGCATGTTCTCCCTGTGACTGTGTGGGTTTTCTCCAGGGTACTCCAGTTTCCTCCCACACTCCAAAGACATGCTGGTAGGTTAATTGGCTCCAGTCTAAGTTGGCCCTAGTATGTTTATGTATGAATGTGAGTTAGGGACTTTAGATCGTATGCCCCTTGAGGATAAGGGACTGATGAGAATGTGCAATATATGTATGTAAAGTGCTGCGTAAATTGACAGAGCTATACAGGGGCGAACTGACAACTCATGGGGCCCCGGGCAATAGGGGATCATGGGGCCCCTGTGTCCTTGCCCAAACTCAAAAAAGCCTATGAAAAAGGTACCAGGGGCATCTCATTGGGCCCCCTACTGACCCCGGGCCCTCGGGCAGTGCCTGAGTTTCCAAATGGTCAGTCCGCCCCTGGAGCTATATAAGCACCTGAAATAAAAAATAAATAATAATAAATATACTTTCCTATCTATTTATTATTGCTAGCAGCATAAGGATTAACTATAGTCAGTGTTGGTTGAGAGAGCAAGGTTCAGCTTTAATCTTGCAAGGAGCTGTGCAAACTCTTGACGCTATATAAATCTTGTATAATAGTAATAATAATTTTATATATATATATAAAATCAAATGTAAAGTAAGAGTTTCAAAACATTATAAACCTAAAAAAATATCAAATTAAATATTACATGAAATATACTTATACTTTAAAGTGTCAAAAAATGGCAGTTTTCCATTGATGTGTATTTGGCGATTACAGCATCAATTTGATGCAACTGATTCAGCCTCTGTACAACCACATGATCTTGCTTTACATGTGATAGATTTCCTCCAACAGTTGTATATCAGTGTCTTCTTCCAGGGTCTCATCTGGAGCTCGGCTACTCTAACCGCATACTTCAGCTGTACAGTAGATCAGCGCTCGAGACAGTTTAATTATTTTAATTGCCAGTGGGAGAGAGCAATGGCTGTAATCTGAAAAGGATAACAACTGTGTTTAATAAGTAGATTTAACTGTAAATATTTGCAAATCCACTCTAGATGACTACCGCGTTTCGGAGACCAGGTTGGAAGCAGCGCTGTGCGAGCCACTGGCAGTGGACCAAAGACCAGGGGCTTCATAAACAGAAAGGGCCATAAAAATAAATCTTTGTAACACTTGTTTACCGGCCGCGATTTCAACAGAAAGACGTTACTTAGAACGCCGTCAGTTCCTTACGGATCACGGGCAATTATCTAAAGCATCGTCCATTTCCGAGGTTGTGGTATTGTTTTGTTTTTTTCTCCAACTTTTTTTTTTTCCCCTCAAGGAAGGAGAGACTTAACTTTTGCCAGCTCGTGCTAATCTTGCAGGGTTTGCTGCCAACAACGTGTTTGCCAAAAGGCCTATGTTTTAATAAAGCTTTGCAATACAAAGGATTACATCACACTGATGTCACACAAAATTCTGAAGTCGCTCTTGTAATAATTTTTTTTTCTTTTAAATTATAGGTTGTGTACTTCCTTTGAGCTTACTAAAGCTCAACTCCAACCCTTTTCTTTTAGTTTGGAATAGATAATATACAATTTTTTCAGGTTGTGACCATTATTGGGGCAATTCTCCCCCACTTCCTGTTCTTGTGACACGTATGCAAGAAATAGAAGGTACACATGGATAGCAAGGACAGTAATAAAACCGTTATTCTGGACCTTTCCCTCTGTACTGTTTTTTATTTTTTGTGTATGCCCAAGTTGGAGAGATTTGTAATCACTTCCTTTCCTGTCATTTGCTGTTAATTTGCAATGTGTCCTGCACTAGTTTTGGTATTTTGAGCATTTGGACCAACACAGGGGTGGACTGACAACTCATGGGGCCCCCGGGCAATAGGGGATCATGGGGCCCCTGTGTCCTTGCCCAAATTCAAAAAAGCCTATGAAAAAGGTACCAGGGGCATCTCATGGGGCCCCCTACTGACCCCGGGCCCTCGGGCAGTGCCTGAGTTTCCAAATGGTCAGTCCGCCCCTTTACTAGACTCTTGTTCAGACAGATTTCAGTGAGTTATTCCTAAAAATTACAGACCTACAATAAAAAAAAATACATATTTCCATGCAAAAAAATGTACCTCTTTGAGCACAGAAATATGGACATAATCAGTCCACTAGGGAGGCTACTAAAAGTCAGCAGCTACAGTTTTCGTAGCTGCTGACTTAAAGTGTTACTTTAACAGTAAAATCAGTCTGTATATGCAGTAAAGCATGCTTTTTATACTCACTGTGAAACCTGAAGGGTTAATCCTCCGCATTGTATAAAAAGGCTGTTTGATCCTGTCTTTTCTGATCCTCCCCTTCTTCTACTGTCCCCAATCCATCTGCTGATAGTACGGAACTCTAGGAGTCACTCTGCACATGATCAGTTTAATGTGTATTGCTAGAAAGTTTTTTTTCCAAGTGGTCAGTCCACCCCTGGACCAACAGTAAAGTATAACTAGAAGCAAAACTTTAATTTTGTATAGAGTGTTTTTGTTGCTGTCTGTGCCACCATTAGGGAGATTCACCCTATGGGGAAGATTTACTAAAACTGGAGCACAAAATCAGGTGCAGCGGTACATGGTAGACATGGTTGCACCAGATTTTGCACTCTCCAGTTATAGTAGGGCGGCACAGTGGCTTAGTGTTTAGCACATCTGCCTTGCAGTAAATGAGTCATGGGTTTGATTCCCGACCATGGTGCCTCCTGCATGGAGTTTACATGTTCTCCCTGTGCTCGCGTGGGTTTTCTCCAGGTGCTCCAGTTTCCTCCCACACTCCAAAGACATGCTGGTAGGTTAATTGGATCTTGTCTAAATTGGCCCTAATATGTGTATGTATGAATGTAAGTTAGGGACCTTAGATTGTATGCCTGTGAGGGTTAGGGACTGATGTGAATGTTCATATGTGTAAAATGCTGTGTAAACTGACAGCGCTATATAAGTACCTGTAATAAATAAATAGCAAAAAAAAACCCTGTTTGTCCATTATCTTTAAAAGTAAAAGAAAATCCTAAAGTTAGGGTTGACACCAGAACAGTAATAGAGGAGAAATCTTCCACTGGTTCTGGTGACACCCCAGGATTGCCTTACTTTTGAGCGATTTCATCCCACTTCCTGTTTTGGCTATGGGATAGGAAGTGAAGGGAAATCTCCTCAATGGGACACAGATGGGAAAAAACTGACAAGGGTTATCCTTTTCTATGTCCAAAATGAAAAAAAGGTTTGCCTTCAGTTTTATTTTAAAGTAGAACTATAGGTAACATTTGTTTTTTTTTTTATTGTGGATAGAGTAAGGCTAGGTTCACGCCTATGCAGTTTGCATTTGAACCGTTTCTGCATTGCGTTTTGCATTGCATTTTTGCACCTGTTATTTTGACACTTTTTGTTGTTGCTAGGCAGATTTAAAATGCCAAACGCATAAAAAAAAAGTAAAAAAAGTGGCAAACGTGCATAAATAACGCACTAAATGCTTTTTCTAGGGTTAGGGAGGGTTATAACCCCTGATAGTTTAATTGTCCCATTGGGGAGATTTACCTTCACTTCCTGTCCAACAGGTGAAACAGGAAGTGAGAGGAAATTCCTGCAAAGAAAAGGAATCTCTTGGGGACCTCAAGGACACCAGAACTAGTGTCCCCATTGGAAGGTTTCCCCTCTATTACTTTTCTGGAGACAACTTAAAATTTGGGACATTCTTTCATTTTCACTTTCAACGATAATGATGGTGATTCTCCATATCGGGGGCCCAGACAGCAATAAAAACTGACAGGTGGTCTAATCCTTCTCCACTCTATCCAAAACAAAAAAAAACGTTATGCCTCAAATCTGTATTTTGACCATTCTGGACACAGCCAAAAGTGCACTTTTGTGATTGTCCCTACATCTGCTTATACTTACTCTACCTTAGAGCAGAACTTTGGGATAAGGAAATATTATCTATATACAAGGGTTATATGTATTGTTTCTTGAATCTTGGTGTGCTTTGTGTATGTTTTCCAGATCTGTGCAGTAATCCAGTGTGAAACCTTTCCTCTGTGAAGGAGCTTCCTGTAGTAAAGACCGGTCACTGCTGCTCTCTCTCCTTGTACAGGGTGTCTGGTCTTGTCTCCGCCCCCTCCTGTAGTTTTTTGCAGGAAGCCTGTAGTGGGTGGAACCTTCTGGGTCCCTCCCATAGCTCTGCTCTCTGCACGAGTTATGAATAGCACAGTGATGATGTCACTACTCTTTTTTTTACCAAGTAATAACTGGCTTGCAAAAGTATTTGGTGCAAACAAAATGGATTTATAATCTTTGGGTCTATTGAGGAAAATGTTTACAGGAAAGCTGTTGTGCCAGAAGTTCAGCTTTAACTACCCAGCTGCTCCGTTCACTCCTGACTACTGACAACTCATGGGGCCCTCGGGCAATAGGGGATCATGGGGCCCCTGTGTCCTTGCCCAAACTCAAAAAAGCCTATGAAAAAGGTACCAGGGGCATCTGATGGGGCCCCCTAATGACCCCGGGCCCTCGGGCAGTGCCCGTGTTTCCAAATGGTCAGTCCACCCCTGGGGGGTGAAGGTAGAAAGAGTCCTCCATCGCTATTGTCTCCAAGTGAAGACTTACATATTGCTTTGTCTCTTTGCTTCCATGACAGAATGGAGCAGAGGGGAAATAAAGGTTAAAAACAAGTATCACTAAGGCCTCATGCACACAGGGCTTTCCCAACTCAGAATGTCTTCGCTCCTGGCAGAAAAAAAACAGCTTAAAAAAGTGCCTAAAACCGCATTTTTCACATGCCTATACGCACATCAAGCGTTTGGGCATTAACCATTTTACAACTGCGCTATAGCCGAATGATGGCTACAGCGCGGTTGTCCAGTTCTGGGAAGGCGTCATATGACGTCCTCCCAGAACACGTCCCCCATGCGCCCCCAGTGGCACGCACCTGTGCTGTCAGTGACCTGTACTGTGCTGTCAGTGACCGCTGTGTCCTAAGGACACAGCTGATCACATGACTAGGTAAAAGGCCAATCACAGTGGCCTTTTACCACGTGATCAGCTGTGCCCAATGACACAGCAAATCACAAAGTAAATACAGTTGCCAGTTATCAGCAGCACTTTCCGTAACTGCCGATAACTGGCAAATGTCACAGAGGGCATCCGCATGGATGATCAGGGCACTGAAGATCAGGGCACTGATCATCAGTGCCGCCCATCGGTGCCACCCATCAGTGCTGCCCAGCAGCACCAACCAACAGTGCCCAGCACTGCCATCCCATCAGTGCTGCCCAGCAGTGCCGCCCAGAAGTTGCACCCATCAGTGACCATCAGTGCTGTTAGTCAGTGCCACCCATCAGAGTCCGTCAGTGCTGCATATCAATGCAGCATCATCAGTGCCTCCTTATCAATGCTCACCAATGCCACCTCATCAGTGGAGCCTATCAGTGCCCATCAGTGCTGCCTATCAGTGCAGGAGAAAAAACTACCTGTTTGCAAAATTTTACTCTTTTTATTTGTTTATAGTGCAAAAAATAAAACACCCAGTGGCAATTAAATACCACCAAAAGAAAGCTCTATTTGTGTGAAAAAAATTATAAAAATTTAATATGGGTACAATGTTGAATGACCTCACAATTGTCACTCAAAGTGTAACAGCACTGAAAGATGAAAATTGGCACGAAGGGGGTAAAAGTGCCCAGTGGTTAATTCATTCTATTGGCCTTAAGAGCTAAATGCGCCTAGCGTTTAGGCACTTTTAGAAGCATTTAGAGGTGTTTAGGCATGTCAGGCATTTTTTCTGCTCAAACACTCCTCTCCGGATTGCCCAAGTGATGTTTTTTCTAGCCTCTAAACTCTCCTCTTCTAATAAGTTTGTAAACACCTATGTGTGCATGGCCACATAGGCTAACATAGAGGTGCATTTCCAAATGACACCATAGTGCCTTCATAAGGACCAGAACTGTAGTACAGACCATTCAAGTATCAATTCTTGTCACAAACTGGTAAGCTGCACCAATGCTGCCCTTTTCAGACTGGGAAACCTTGAAAACAGAAATGCGCAAAATCAAAAGGGTGCATTAGCAGACAAACCTTTATTGGAAAAGGAAAAAGTATTGAGTACCAAAGGCTAAAACACCAATTAAGACCATACCCAAGTGGCAGGGTAGCCCTCATAGGGACAAGTATCACCACATCCCTGGCTTCACTGAAACTCAAGAGTTAATGCGTTTCAAGGAATGAACCCTCTTTCTCAGAGCTTGAAGAAGAGGGTTTGTCCCTCGAAACTCGCTATCTGGCGAGTCTTGGCGAAGCCAGGATTGCGGTGATTCTGTTGTGCATTGCATTGCATGGGTAAAGCAGAGCTTAACCACAGTTGTGTATACTGTGCTCTTTTTCCGCATCTGAAAGTGAAATTCCGACCTTACTCTGACTATGCTTAAAATGTCCCCTCCCCCTTCCTACTACATATCCTGTCTAACCTGTGGACACTTACCTATTTTTATTCTGCTCTGGTCCAGTCACATGATCCCCTGTGTCAGTGAGCAGAGGCTGCAGCAGAGAGGAGGGAGCACCCAACAACAGCTGGAAATTCCAGAATCCGGGACATAATTTGTAAATTCCCATGACCCAGCCATTGTCGGCACTCCCTCCTTCCCTGCAGCTGCTGGTCATTGACACAGGGGACCACTGGAGCAGACTGGAGCAGACTAAAAGTATACATAGTTACCTAGGTAGTATGGCTGAAAAAAGACAAAAGTCCACACAGTTCAACCATTAAAAAAAAAAAAGTTAGAATCCTATACCCACAGTTGATCCAGAGGAAGGCAAAAAAACCCAACAAAGCATGATCCAATTTCCTCCTGCAGGGAAACAAATTCCTTCCTGATCCCCCGAGAGGCAATTGGATATTCCCTGGATCAACTTTACCTATAAATGTTAGTATCCAGTTATATTCTGTGTATCTAGGAAAGAATCCAGGACTTTTTTGAAGCAATCCACTGAGCTGGCCAGAACCAACTCTTGAGGGAGTCTATTCCACATATTCACAGCTCTTACTGTAAAGAAATCTTTCCGTATTTAGAGATTAAATCTAGATGTAGAGTGCCCCCTTGTTCTCTGTGATCACCTCAGGGTGAATAGCTCTACACCGAGTTCACTATATGAACCACTGATGTATTTATACATGTTGATCATATCCCCCCTTAATCTCCTCTTCTCAAGAGAATAGATTCAGTTCCTCTAATCTTTCCCCATAGCTGATCTCCTCCATGCCTCGTATCAGTTTGGTTGCCCTTCTCTGTACTTTCTCCAGTTCCCCAATGTTATTTTATGTGAATTGGTGCCCAAAACTGAACTGCATATTCCAGATGAGGTATTACTAATGATTTGTAGCGGGGTAATATGATATCTCTCGCTCTGGAGTCTATACCTCTTTTAATACAAGAGAGGATTTTGCTCTCAGATCTTTTTTACACAGGTTAGATGGGATAGGTAGTAGGAAAGGGGGAGGAAACATTTTAAGCATAGTTGATGTTAGGGTGGAATTCAACTTTAACCTCTACATATAGAAAGGCTTCTTTAAAAGTTCATTTGGCCCCTCTTAGGTAGGTTACAGTGCTGCATTTCATTCTGCACTCCTGTGACTTGTATTCAGCCGACAGCAGGCTAAAGCTAAGGACTGAGCACTGAATGATCAGCAGTCTTTTTAGTGTGCGGCAGGGCAGGTTACAGTATCGGATCAATGCTGCGTCCATCTAGGTGAATATGGATGTTTGTTTTATTTTCATAACCCACACTTCTCTTTTAACAGTTGTGAAAAAGTTGAATTGACTTCCCCAGGAGCAAGTTCTGGCCAACTATGTGGATTGCTTTAAAAAAAAAAAAATCTTAAAAAAACAATTGGATGTATTTTTAAATACACAAAATATAACTTTCTATTAATATTTTTAAAAAGTGCTATATATTGTTGATCTGTGGCATATCCCATAGGCATGCGCATGGGGTGTGATGGGGTTGGCAACCCATCAGTCATGATCTACCCATCGATCGTGGGCAGGTGATGGGTAGACCATGATCCTTCCTTGCCGAGCCCTGGAACCTGGACAGGAGGGACGGCGGGGGTGGCATTTATTGGAACCAATCTGTATTTCCCTCCTGCAGCAGCTGAATGTAGGCTTCTCTTCCTCTCCCCCTCACCAGCATTCAGCTGCCACAGGAAGAAAGACAGGGGAACAGTACCAGTATATGCCACCCCCACTGCCCCTCCTGTCCCTGTTTCTCTTCTTTCTGCTGCCTGGGTCACCCTGTGTGCTCCCTATAATAAACTGGGTTTTTTATGCTTGAGTATGTGAATAGGAAGTCACACTGCTCTCTCCAGTGCAGCTGAGGCTGCAGAGAAAGGGACTGGAGAATCTATTTCCTCAGTCCCTTTCTCTGTCTCAAACGTGAGACATCAGGGGTCTGTGTAGACCCCTTATATTTCACCAAAGTCCCTCAATTGGGCTCCTAAAAAAAATTGTACTAAAAATAAAAAAAAAAAAATATAAAAAATAAATTTAAATAATAAAAATTAAAATACTACTGACACCGTCCACTACCCTACTGATACCAATCTCTGCCCTACTGACACCATCCACTGCTCTGCTGATGCCATCCACTGTTCTACTAACTGACACCATCCACTGTCCTACTGACACCAGCCTCTGCACCACTGACATGTCCACTGCTCTTCTGACCTACATCAAGCATTGTCCTACTGACACCAACCTCTGCTCTACTGACATGTCTACTGTTCTACTGACTGACACCATCCACTGTCCTATTGACACCAATTTATGCTCTACTGACACGTCCACTGTTCTACTGACACAGTAAACATACACACACATACATGTGTGTTTGAGCTTTGGGGTGCACACTCTAATGCAATAGGCTGCGCACACCTATGGAAATATCCAACTGCTTTTGAGGATCAAAAAGGACTCTTCTTCCTACTTACACATATTAGAACACGCTTTGTAAGGGATTTTTTTTCAACGTATATTACTACAGTATGTATCTATAGTGGCACCATTATGTGAAAATCTTCTCTTAAAGCAAAACTAAATTGTATTTGAGCGCCATCAATTGAAAACGCTGTTTAATTAATTTTTTTATTGAAAGCAAACTTACTCATCTATCGATGTTGATTGAGAGTTTAATTCTGCTTTAATTTGTCAATCACCTGAAGCTAACACTATGACTGTAGCCAGGTCCTTACACAGCAGCAGGTACACCCAATAATTGTGAGTGATTGCACCATGGTCGGTTGTATTTGATGTTATCTAGCAGGTCTGATCGAAGGTCATTGTCTTAGCAGTAGCATTAGATCTTTGATGATTCTACATTGGTGCTTTCCAGTAGCTCAGTCTAATTGCTTATGGAGTTGTGATTTCAGGAGTGAGAAGTTACCCCCTGAAAAAGTAGTCTGATTGAGTGCCATGGGTCCCAGTCACTTCCTTTATTTCTTTTAAAAGTGGTAGCAATAAATCTGTCATAAAGCAAAATTCTTGTCTTAGAAGCATCTGCCAATGGTGAGTTCCTTCACAGCATTCATTAGAGACTGAAGTAAAGGTGCAGAAGTCATCCATATCAAGAGCTCTACGTGGCACTAGCCTGTATGTGAGGGTGGCAAGAAGGAAGCCATATTTAAATAGAACCATGTCATGGCACATCTGGAGTTTGCCTGAAAGCATCCAGTTGGGATGCGGAAAAGATTTTGGGGTCAAAGCAGTACACGCGGCACATTATATTGCCCATAGACACCCTATCTATAGCAAAATATGGTCCGGGTAGCATTATGCTGTGGAGCTAAAAAAATAAATCCTGCTACCCTGTAACAAACATGGAAATGGCTGCTTCCATCACAGGTGTTTTGCTACATGACAGTGCCCCTTTAAAAGTCATCTGTGTTGTCATGTTGTATAGAGGTCTTTGCAAAAACAATGTTTCCTATCGGTATTTTTTTCAAAATGTAATACTAACTTTTTGCAGATGCCATCCACCCAAACTATTACAATCCTTACTTCAGAATCGTCCGGTTCGACGTCTCTGCAATGGAGAAAAATGTTTCCAATTTAGTGAAGGCAGAATTTAGAGTGTTTCGTTTACAGAATCCAAAGGCACGGGTATCAGAGCAACGAATAGAACTATATCAGGTAAATGCCAGATTTGTGATTATTTTTTTCAATATGTGTTGTAACATAATTTGTCATTTGAATATGTCGCATTGTAGGGGCTCATTCACATGGACGTGAAAACTGCTGCCTACAGATTCTACAGCATATAGTTATGTCTGCATCTGTACACAGCAGTATAGACGTCTATAGGGCCTATTCACACAGCTGCTCCTGGCAAGGGAATGTTGTTCTAGGTTCAACAGCATTAAAAAAAAATAGTTCTCAAATATGTCCAGGGCTGTAATTTCAGCCATATTTTTTGGTGGACCCTTTTGGCTATCACTGCTGCTCAGTACCAACATGTACTGAGGTTGGACAAAAAAATGGAAACACTACATGATTTGCAGGTGTGAAAGTGACGACATGTTTCGCTTTGAAAGCAGAAGTGATGTAACATTCTTTTACTTCCGCTGTGTGATAAGACACCTAGCTAACAGATGGGAAGCCTCACTTTTGTCATTCACTGAGTGCGTTGTTAGTAATACAGAGTTATGTTAGAGCTTACTGAGCTTCAAAGAGGGCAGATTGTTGGTGCCGCTTAGCTGGTGCCTCTGTGACTGAAGTTGTCAATTAATTTGTGGTGTCACCAGGTACAGTATCAGAGGTTATGATGGCATATACAGTTTCTGGGAAAATGTCATCTGATAAGTATAAGCATGGTTGACATGGTCACCTGACCAAAAGAGGCAAAAGGACATTGTGCAGGATTGTGACCCGGAATAAGAAAACAACTGCTGCAAAAAAGTGACTGCAGAGCTCAATCTCAGTCCAGTGAAGACTGAGTCCCATGAAGACTGAGACTGAGCAGTCACCTTTGCAGTAGTTGTTTTCTTACTCCGGGTCACAATCTTGTGCAATGTTGTTTTGTCTCTTTTGATCAGTTGACCATGTCAGCTGCACTTATGCTTATCAGACGACGTTTTCCTGAAACCAACTATTTGCCTTCTTTGAGGCTCAGTAAACTCTGACATGAATCCATATTACTAGCAGCGCATGCAGAAATGATGAAAGTGAGGCTTCCCACCTGTTGGCTAGGTGTCTCGTCACACAGCAGAAACAAAAGAATGTTATATCACTTCCGCTTTCAACTCGAAACATCTCATCACTTTCATACCTGCAGATCGTGTAGTATTTCCATTTTTTTGTCTAGCCTCTGTAAATAGCTACAATATGTAGCCAGTGGCACCACTGTTGCCAAATACACACCATTGATGTTTAAAGGGTTAGTTCACCTTTAGAAAAAAAAGGCAGAGGCCATTTTGTGAACGCACTGCTGTATGAATGACTCATTTAGGGTCGATATTTGAAGGGTTAGATAACCTTTACCAAATAATCTGCCTATGCAGATAAGGGATGTCTGTAGGTAAAAAATAAATTGTTCAGCTCTTAATAAACTTGACTAATGCCCTTTCTATAGGTGTAGGCCATTTACATACCTCATGAAGCCTGATTTAAATACTCCCAGGTCGTTGCTAGGATGTTGCTAAGTGAAGCCTAGTCATTACTGCTCACCTCCTCCATCACAGAAGTGAGATTTTCTGTTTCAAACCCCCTTACATGCACTTTCGCAGGCCTGATGCAGTAGCTCAGCATTTGAGAGCTCACTCCTGTAATGGAGGAGATGAGCAGTAATGACTAGGCCTCACTTAACAACATACTGGCAACATCTTGAGAGTATTTCAGTCAGGCTTCATGAAGACTGTAAATCGTCTACACATATAGCAGGGGCATTTTTTAACTTTAGTCAGAGCTGCACAGTTGGTTTTTATCTACAGACACTCCTTATCTGCTTAGGCAGTTTATTTTTTGTAAAGGTGAACTAAGCCTTTCAATATCAACCCTAAATGAGGCATTCATACAGCAGTGCATGCACAGAATGGCCAGTCTTCCAAAATCGGCCAGGGTAATTTTGGGAATGTGCCACAGCCACATGAATGGTTCACTCAGGGCCGATACGTAAATAATAGTGTGTAATCAGTGGGGCAATGCCATGGGCTGTTACTGCTGCAGCTGAGTTGCTCATGAAAGCCCCTCTCTAGGCAGAGAAGATGTGAACAGGCTGTACAAGCTACCTGCATGCATCTCATATGCATAGATATGCGTGTATGCTTGTGTGAGTTAGAATGCAGTATGAACCAATTTTTATGTAGGATCTTGCTGGAGGCATTCTTGCGCAAAAAAAACCTTACATTTGTGTGAATGAGCCCTTACAGTCATGACGGTTAGGTCACATTGGTTAAAGTTTCACAACTTCAGACATTCAGACATTGCTCTTTGCCTAATCAAAGTCTATTGAAACCCAAAACTTTTTTTCCATTTTTTGATAGAGTGAAGGGTTAGCACCCTTAGCATTTTTATTGCTGTCTGTCTCCCCACTTGGAAGATCTATTCTCTCGATTTGTTCCGGTGACCCCGTGTTTTGCTCGTTGTCTAATAAAGGTTCTTTTGTGGTAAATCCAAGGAAGCAATTACAACTCTGTAATGTATTAAGGTGCTTTTACTAAACAGAAAGGCTGCACATAATACTGCAGGAAACACAATTCATAGCATGCAAAGTATAACCAAATATGCATACATGCTCAAACTATCTATCCTTCCCAGCAAATTACCATCGACAATGTATGTAAGAGTATACTAATAAGCTACATAACTTGGGTTTCCTTGTGATGGAATCTTCTTATGGTTCCTTCATCTTCTCAGAGTCTAGAACCAAACATCTGTTTCCTCCGAAGTCTAAAACTAACTCTGTCTTCCTCTGTCTCCAGTACAAGTATTCCTTCTTTGTCTTCAAGGACAATTTTGTCTTTGTCTGAGCACATGGCCTGTTCAAAGTTCTTTTCCCCTCTCCCTATTTCCTGCTACATCATATCCTGTAGCCTGACTTCCTGTGCTGAGCTCATAAACCAGTCCAACAGGTTAATTTGCCCTTCAATAGGGGGAACCTTATCTTCCAAACACAACACATATAACTAAAATCTAACCATTCACATATCTAAACTATAAAAAAATCACCAATATATTATCTATATCAACACACTCCACTAAGAAACAATCTAAAATTCTGAGTTGCCTTCAGAACAGGAACAGAGGAGAAATCTTTCATTGTGGATGCTTTTTCCTGTAACAGTTGTTTGAGAGGAAATTTTTATCCATTTGGGACAAACTTCCTCTCACTTCCTGCTCTGTCTACATGGCAGGAAGTAAGGGAAAAATATTGCAATAGGACACAGATGGGCATTTAAGTGTCTGCCAGAACCACACCTACGCTAGATATGCCCAGTGCATCTGAACCAATCCCTCCTGTTGCTGCTTCTAGGGTGAATAGAACTGTACCTACATATTTATTATTATACAAAAGAAAAGGGCCACGCCAAGGGGAGGATTTGTTGGAGCTCAGCAGTGGAGAATATATGTTGTCAATCCCCTGAAGTCTAGATTGTACCCACAGTTTGCATTAGCTAAATTTTTCATAGAACAAGCAGAACTTTTCAGAAATAGTAACAATGAAACATAATTTTGCCATTGTATACACTTCTGCTTAAAAAAATTATACTGAATTTTTTATTTAAAAAAAAACAAACACATCTTGGAAAGCACCTCCTACTTTCCTGGAGAATTTATGAATGTGTGTGTTTTTTGTCTTCACTAAAATGAGCATTAGCAGATATTACCTATCAAGACATGGTCAGGTAAATAGTTTGACAGATGTGTGCTGAGATTGCATCTACAGTATAATCTCATTTTAAACCTATTGTTTATTTTAACTTTAAGGCCCAGTCCACCCAAGGAATGATATTTTACATATGGATAGAGCCTGGTGGACTGAGTCAGCCACTGCCTTCCTATAAGTATTGGATACTGGAACAGTGAGATCTCCTTGCTCCTAACATCCCTTCCAGAAACATGGTAGGAGCCCCTCATAATGTGCACAGCAGTGTGCAGATCCAGGAACTCAGCAAAAAAGATCTCACCAAAAGAAGCTCTGAGAAATTAAAGAAACTGTCAGGTGATTCTAACGCTTTATCATCTATCAAAAACAGAAATATCAGCTTGGGTGGACTGACATTTTAATATGCAGAACACACCACAAGTCATGTGTAGCTGGCATACAGCGGAACACTTTAATATATAGAACATGCCACAGGTCATGTACAGATGGCACCTAGCGGAATACTTTCATATATAGAACATGCCACAGGTCATGTACAGATGGCATCTAGTGGAATACTTTCATATATAGAACATGCCACAGGTCATGTACAGATGGCACCCAGCGGAATACTTTCATATATAGAACACGCCATAGGTCATGTACAGCTGGCACTTAGCGGAATACTTTCATATATAGAACATGCCACAGATCATGTACAGATGGCACCTAGCGGAATACTTTCATATATAGAACATGCCACAGGTCATGTACAGCTGGCACCTAGTGGAACACTTTTATATATAGAACACGTAACAGGTCGTGTACAGCTGGCACCTAGCAAAACATTTTCATATATAGAACACACAACAGGTCACGTACAGCTGGCACTCAGCGGAACACCGCAGGTCAGATTCAGTTGGTACCTAGCAGAAAACTGTAATATATGGAACACGCCACAGGTCATGTACAGCTGGCACCTAGCAGAACACTTTAATATATAGAACATGCCACAAGTCATATTCAGTAGGCACCTAGCAGAAATCTTTAATATATAGAACATGCCACAGGTCATGTTCAGCTGACATATATAGGAACACTTAGAACACACAACAGGTTATGTACAGGTGGCACCTAGTGGAACATTTTAATATATAGAACACGCAACAGGTCATGTTCATTTGGCACCTAGCGGAACACTTTAATATATAAAACGCGCAACAGGTCATGTTCAGTTGGCATGTAGCCGAACACTTTAATATATAGAACACGCAACAGGTCATGTTCAGTTGGCACCTAGCCAATCACTTTAATATATAGAACATGCCAC